CTCTCTCTCTCTCTCTCTTCTCTCTCTCTCTCTCTCTCTCTCTCTCTCTCTCTCTCTCTCTCTTTCATTCGCTCTGTGTCCCAAGTGAGGAATTTGGTTGGTGTTCTCTCTTCTTGCACTGATAGGAAGCTTTACGATACCAAACCTCATCAAGCATCTATACTGCCTTAATCACGCACCGAGGCCAAAGCATCTTAAAACAGTCCGCCTGACGTCCCTAACCCCTCCGTGCGAATAACCTCCCTTGGTAAACGATAGATGAGGTTCATGGGTATAGAGATGTGCAGTTGGCAGTGGTAAACAACATAGAAGAGGTAGGTTGAAGAAGGCGGTGTTGCCGGTGTCAGTGGGCATATACAGGAAAGACAAAGTGTATTTCTCAATTTGAGTAGACATAGACAAGAGAGATGTGCATAATATAGCAAGATGGAGTTGTCGTCGGCAGAGGATATCTGGGGACGAGATGGGTGTAGCAAGATGCATCTGTTGACGTCAGTACTTGACGCTTTAACCATCAGGGAACGGGACAGTTCTACAGCGAGATACGTCGCTCGTTCCTCGATAGCCTGCTGCATGTTTGTCCGTTAACATAGTGTGGCTGTCGCCGCACCGCCGAAGGGTGTGAGAGAGAAATACAGAGCGAGAAAGACAAAGACCGAAAGAAAGAAAGCGAGAGAAAAAAATAAGAGAAAAAACAGAGAGAGTGGTGAGTGAGTGAGAGAGAGAGAGAGAGACAGAGAGAGAGAGAGAGAGAGAGAGAGAGAGAGAGAGGGGGGAGACAGAGAGAGGTGGAGGGCGAAAGAAGGAGAGTGGGAAGAGAGTGAGCGTGATAGAGATAGAGAAAGATAAAGCTTGCGAAAGAGAGTGGAGAAAGTGAAAGAAAGAGAGACAGAGGGGAAGAAATAGAGAGTGGGAAGAGAGAGAGAGAGAGCGCGCGCGAGAGAGAGAAGTACTAGCGTAATACAGCAATCCGCGAGTGCGGAAATCTCTGTTGCTGCAGCGCATCTAGGCGCGCCCATGCAATATTGATGCGACGCACTTATTTTGAGGAGCAAAATAAATATCGGGCGCGCCGAAAAAAGAGCGACTACTCGTCGAGATTTCGACTCCTCGTGCGTTCATAGGAAAGACCTCGTGGCGACGTGGCTTTTGGCATATCGCTTATTTAACAGCGGGTCGCTCTTGACTTGTCCTCTCGCGCGTGAAGCCAATTTTGTAAATAGGCTCGTGTCGTAAACACTAAACGACACGCTTGCCTCGCAAGTGTGTGTGTGTGTGTGTGTGTGTGTGTGTGTGTGTGTGTGTGAGTGCGTGCGTGCGTGCGTGCGTGCGTGCGTGCGTGCGTGTGTGTGTGTATGAAGTTTGCCTTGAGAATGAAATATGTGCAACCCTAACTAGTTGGAGAAATGGTTAGTTAACTCTTACATAAGCTGGAGGCGCTTGTGTCAAAATTCATAGATTATAATAATACAATATATAGGCCCCTACTAATATAGGCCCCTATATAATTATATATTAGTACCAGATCTCCCCGCACGATGTACGAGAGAAATCGAGCATACGCCGGTATTAGCAGCGGGAGAATCTGAGAGGATTTCTTAATTACACGGGTCTAATCGTTTTAGTTGTGTTCGCGGTCATTTTGGTGACCAGAATAATAAATTTTTAGCGAAGCAAGACAGCTTGGAGGAACGAATGGCTTTCACGCGAGAAATTCTTAGGATTGACCCACATTATTGCGAGAACCTCTTATACATTGCAAAGTTAGTTCGCACATTTGATTAGACAAGCGGGGAGAGAGTCCAATCGTGGATAGAATTTCATTGTTTGCTATATGAAAACGACATCCTACTGGGGAATGTAGACAGGATCCAGTGAAAGACAGGGTTTCTGTGTACGGTGGGGGCGTAGGAGTCAACCACAGGTTATGAGCGTCCGTTAATTATATTTTGCAAGTGAGTTGTTAGCATAGTGAACATATATATATAATATATATATATATATATATATATATATATATTCTCTAGTATACTTATTCTTAGTGTACGATATATATGCACTCTTGCATGAATGGCAAAAGGTTTAAGGTAAAAAGCAACTATTTGTAAGTGCATTACATTAATCTCTCTATCTTGTCGCACTATATATTTAACGCGCGAAAGAGAACATAAAATCGTCTTGTAAAAATATACTTGAACTACTGTTTGCTTACGCTCCCTCTTTTTTAGCACACATTCTTGCTTGCATTACCTCTTACTTGCACCCTCTCATGATTGCACTGCTATTTTACTGCGCCATCACTTACATGCATACTCTCGTGCCCGCACTGCATGCTGCTTGATCGTACCCCCATATGCTTGCACCGTTGTTTGATTTCAACCCCGCTTGATTGCACCCGCTCTCACTTACAGCCGCTCTTGCTTGCACGGGTGCTCGATTGGCTCCTTGCTGCGGCCAGCATGTAGAATTACTCAGCTTGCTCTAAACGCTTTGCACACTGCTGCTGTTTCACATCAATCAATCACGAGCACTCATTACATAAATTTCACTCAAATATTTCATGTATTTACCAAGAGGCAGACCTCGGGGGAGACCTTACAATTGTGTTACTTTGTTTTACAAAATGTGCAAATCTGCTTACGCGAGGGCCGGCGAGACTGGTGAGTGATTCTCCCGATGCTTGCAAGTTAGCGCGTATGCACGAGTGCGCGCGAAATGACGACGAATTATATAATTATCTCTCTACACACATCCAAGCGATGTCTGCGGTCGTGCGTCTGCGTACACATACGATCAGGCGTGTATAATATATATATATATATATATATATATATATATATA